CACACCGAGAAGGGCAAGAGAAAGGGGATGTTTCTGCCTCATACAAGGACAAGGGTCAGGTGATACGTCCCGCAAGAGCAGCTCTCTGTCCTCCAGCAGAGGCGGAGCTGTGGAGGTGTTGCCCTGTCAAGCCAAGCACTGCCAATCCCCACCAGAACTGGTGCAGATGACCCCAGGGGTTGGCTCAGGGCAGATTCCTGAACACAGGGACAAACCCAATGGGAGTTACAGGGATGTCTGTAAACCCCATGTGCCGTGGGAGGTGCAAGTGGGGTTGGGAAGGGAAAGGAGGAGAACACAATGAGGAGTTGGAGGAGCAGCCCCAATGCTCCCAGCTCCCAGCCCTGCAAAGCCCAAGCAAGCCCAGCCTGGAACTCCCAGCCCCATCTTCCCAGCTCAGGAGCTCTGTCAGAGAGAACAGGCCGGGCTGGGTGATTCTCCCTGGGCACTGGCTGTGCTGGAGCTCCCTGGGCTGGCTGAGGGAGGGCCTCACCGGGACAGAGGTTGTGCTGCTGTTCAGCTCTTGCACGTGAAGTTTGAGAGGGAAAAAGGAAAGGTCTTTATTTCACCTGCTGGCTGAAGCCCTGCACAAGCCTCTGGCCTTGGGATACAGGAGAGCTGCAGGGAGCTGGGCCCTTTGCCTTCAGTTTTGGTTTGATTCTTTTCCCCAGTGGTCCCTGCCCCACCAGGGGGCCTGGGATGCCCCATCTCCATCACCCCACAGCCCCACAGCCCACAGGGATTGCTGCTCAGCTTTGGCATCTCTCTCTGCAGGTCCCTGCAAGGAAAAAAAAGGCAGAGGTTGGAGGCAGAGATCCTGCACAGCTCTTGTTTTCCATTCTCTGAGCCACACAGTGAGGATGATGAGCTGAACCTCCACACCTCACTCAGAGAGGGATTTTTCAAGCCCACCCTACAAAACAGTGACTTCCATTTCCCAGCCTGGCCTCTCCCAAGCTCTCAGTAGCAGAGCACAGCCAGAGTGGGGAGGAGCTGTGCTGGTTCCACTCAGGCCAGCTCAGACACTCCATTCTTGTGTCCAGGGGATGGGAGCCAATGTGTGCCTGGGGCAGGGATGCATTTGGTCTCTCCCTCCCGACTTTGGCATTAAGCACAAGAACCTCTTTGTGAAAGGCTTTGTCTTCTCAACAGCTTTCCTTGCCTCATTTGACAAAGGAAAGGCCTGAGAGGTTCAGCTGGTTGTGAAATGAGGGGAGGACGCTGCCGTCCTAAGGTAGCAGGGCTCAGACAGCAGCAGCCAACATCAGAGTACAATTCCAGCCTCAAATTTTCCTCTCCATACCCCAAATCACTCCCCTTCCACCACAAAACAGTGGGTGGCTGCAGCCAGGAGGAGGAGCGATGTGCTCACCAAGCCTATCATGAGGTCCTGCAAAAACATCTTGAAGCTGTTGGGGAAGATGAGTGGAAGCAGAGAGCAGGATATGACCTCAGACACAAGATAGATCCCAGCTGATGAACCTCCCAATGTCCTCGTGGGGGCAGCTGGGCAGCCTTGGCCCAGTGCTGAGGGACCTTGGGTGGGAGGGAGGGAATCCCTGCCCTTCAGTGGCTGTGCCTACCTGGGAGCTGGACCCGCTGCCTGGGAGGAGAAAGGCACAGGCTGAGAGCCTGCAGCTCCCCCAGGTACTGCCCACCCTGAGACACTGTGGGGACCCCCTGAGCCACCCTCTGTCAACTGTGGGCATCAAGAAATGAATGCCCTGCCCAGCTGTGGCTCTGCATTAGATCTGACACCACCACTCTCCCCTTGCTGTGATGCAGGGGCAGGAGAGGAGCAGGATGCTCTCCCATGACTGGGAGGGTTGTCCCCAGTGGCAAAGGCTGGGCTGAACTGCCCAGTGACCCCCAGCATCCTCCTACCCAGGGACATGCCATGGGGCAGGGCAGGGTCTGCTCCCTCACCTGAGGTCTGTGGGGCCGATGACATTTCCCTGCCTTTTCCACAGTGCCACAACTCACCTGTGACTTTCAGCTTCTGGGGAGCACTGAGGGCAGAGTTCCTCCCTCAGTTGCTGTTGTTCTTGTGCTGGTATCCACATGGGTTTGTCCCTGGGCTCACCCTCGTCCCACGGAAGAGCATGGAGTAGCTCTTCTGCATTTCTTGGGCTTCCAGGCTGCTCATCTCCACCCCGTCCTTGCAGAAGACAATTTGGGTGGCAGCAGACTCCCAGAAAATTGGGCACCAAAACAAAACCTGTTCCCCTCCTCTGTAGCCATGGGGTTCATGGAGAGGTCAGGAGCTGGGAGGTCACCTGGGGGGAAGGCACAGGTATTGCCCCAGACAGTGTTAGTGTTGTCAGAACAGCAAAATGCCTCAGATCTGTGACAGGAACTGTTTCCTCTCCAGGAGTTCACACCTGGGTAACAAAGCCCTTCTCCCTTCCCATCTCCAGCCCCACACGTCTCCCTTTACAGGACCTGTCCCTGTGCTCACCATCCCCTTGGGAGCTGCAGATGTCCTGGGCCGTGGCACCAGCACCTGCAAGGCCTGGGGAGGGTTCAGCGATGCAACCTCAGCTCCTGTGCTCTCGTGCTGCTTGAAGGGGGAGGTTCCCTCTTTCAGGGAGGGGTTTGGGGGATGGTTCAGCTTGGAACTGAGGGGGTTCTGGCCATAGTGTCTGACTTGGCAGATGCTGAAGTGCTTTAGAGAGCCAGAGACATTCACCCGGAACCACAAACCCAACCCAAACTGTCCCTGATGCAAGTAATCTTCTGCCAAAAGGCTCCTTTGCTGGGGGAAGGTTGGAGCTTGGGGTGCATGTCGGGGGCTGCTGATGCTGAGACCTCAGAGCCTCAACTGTCCAAAAAACTGGACAATCCCCCCAAGCATCCCAATCCCCCCAGGGACATGCCATGGGGTAGGACAGGGTCCTCTCACTCACCTGGTCTGGGGGACTGCAGAGTGTGTCTTGTCTGTGCCTCAGTTCCATGTCTCACCTCTCAAAATCAGAATCTGCCGAGTTCCTCACTGGGTTGCTGTTGTCCTTGGAATGGTGTCCACATGTGGATGTCCCTGTGCTCCCCGGTCATGGTGAAGAGCATGGAGTAGCTCCCCTTCTTCTCTTAAGCTTTCAAGCTGCTCATCTCCACCCCATCCTTGCAGAAGACAATTCGGGTAGCAGGGGACTTCCAGTGAATTTGCACACAAAATAACCCTGTGGTTATTTTCCCATCCTGGTCCATCCGTCCTGGGAACCCAAGGGATCCTCTGCAATCCCATCAACGGAGCAGAATTTACCCTCCTTCCCTTGACTCACTACAGAGGAACAAGTGCCATCTTTCTGCCCACGACAAACCAGATTTTGTGCTCAAGGCATCAAAAAATGGTGACAAAGCCTCGTTCAGCTCAGCCTTGGGTGCAGTTTTACCCCCACTGTCGGGGCAGACTGAATGGGCCATGATGAGAGGGCACAGCTGGGCTCGGCCCTGCAGGACACCTGGGCTCAGGAGGGCGATGCCAGCTCAGGACCCGGCCCCGGCCCCCTCTGGCTCTACAGCTGCTGAGGACAAGCTCCCTGTCGTGTGCCCATCGTGACATGCAGCTGCCATGGCCTGGAAGCTCCTGGCCCAGGGCAGCTGCAGAACGGGGTCAGCCTCCCAAGGAGGAGGAACCGGCAGCCCCGAGGGGGCTCAGGATTGTGCCCAGCAGCCCCTGCCCAGGCAGTCTGCAGCCCAGCAACGCCTCCCTCCAGCCCAGGTGGCTCGAAGCTCGGTCCCGGCTGGCCGCGAACATTGCCCTGCTGTAGGGCAGCCACATCTCTCCTTCCGAGAGGAGCCGGGACGAGGCAGCGCTGCTGCGGCAGCGGCTCCTTCCGAGCCCGCCGGGGCTCAGCGGGGAGGAGGAGCCCGCGGGCAGCCGCTCCCTGCGCGGCCCCTGCCGAGGGGACACGGGGGGGCCGAGCCCGCCAGCCCCGCTCCCCGCGGCGCCTCCCGCCCCCTCCACCCGCAGCGAGCCCCGAGCCCCGGCGGGACCGAGCGGGTCCCACCGCCCGGAGCCGCGCCCGAGCTCGGCCACCGCCTCCCCGAGTGCCCGCCCACCCCCGCCCCTTGCACACAATCCCACCTCCCTTTTCTGAAAGCCACGCGCTTTACGAGAAACAGCCCCTGGCGATGTGCCCGGAATGCTTTAGGAGTCCCAGCCCTGGCGATGTGCCCTGCCCGGCGGGGGTCCAGGCATTGCTGCTGCTCTGAACCGGCTGGAGCTCCGTGAGAACCTGATTGAAGGGCCTGTGACCTGTGGATGAGTCTAGCATGGAGCAGAGGTGCCCCTGCAGCCCGGGGAGGAGCCCAGGCCGGAGCAGGGGATGCCCAAAGGAGGCCGTGACCGCGTGGGAAGCCCCTGCAGAGCCGTGGAAGCAAAGCCTTGATTTCCAGGGCTGCCCCCGCCCCCCTCTCCCCCCTTCCCCCCCGCTCCAATTTGTTGGGTTTAATCCCAAACTCTGCAGCAAACCCTCTGCCCCAGGGCAGCAACCGATCCCTGACACAGACCTGGAGCGGTGCCAGGAGTGACTTGAGGGCAGGGGGTTCACAATGCAAGCCCCTCCAGCGCCCCTCGCTGCCCACGAGGGCGGGAACGAACGCTCCCGGTGGTGAGATCCAGGGCAGGAAGCAGTCGTTCCATGTCCCTCAGCTGTTCCGTGTTCCATGGGTCGTTCCCTGTCCCGGGGCCATTCCGTGTCCCGGGACCATTCGCTGTCTGTCCAAGCGGACAAGGGCAGAGCTCTGCTGGGGTGCAGAAACCACAGTGGGATCGAGGTCCAGTTCTGAACCCAGGGGCCAGGTGTGCTGCTGCTGGAAATGCTCATTCCCTACTTCCCCTCCTGTGAGCAACAGGTCACACCTGCTCTTTGCCTTCCAGAACACGAACTTCCCAGATAGGGAATCCACCTGAGAAGAAATGGAGCACCTAAATGTGTGTGGTCACCCTGCCATGGAGAGACAGACACAGACACTTGGCTGGGGCTCCCAAGGTTTATTGCCAGGAGGCCCTTGGTCATTCCTTGCCCGTGGGAACAGGGCAAAGCAGCACAATGTTGTTCAGCAAGAACCAGCTCACTTTGCTTCTGTCCTGAGCCTGAAGATGCTTCTTCCTTCTTTGCTTATTTCTTCCTTGTTTTATGCAAAGGAAGCACCTGAACAGTTGAGATTATCCAAGGAAGTGGACTAGAACTAAATGCTCCTCAAGATGTTTTGCACCTATGTGAGAGGAATACTTTTACTAAGGCCTTTGTATTATTAAATCACATAGTTCTTATGAAACACATTCCTGCCATGGTCAGATGACAACTGATGGCAAGACACAGACTCAATGGAATAGGAACAGCCTTTCTCCCTCTCTCTCCACTATCTTATTTATTATTTTCATGAAACCTGCTTTAAGAACTGGACAGAGGACACAGGTGTAAGTGTGGCAAATGAATCCAAGTGGAGACAGACTTTGTCCAGGCACATCTAACTCCGTTACCTCTGTCGGGTTGTGGTCGTCGAAAAGTCCCACAACACACAGAAAATGTCGGGTCACTGAATACAGAAGATACAGACATGAGCCTGCACACACACCAGGATTTGGTTTTCAGGATTCTCCACAGAGCTCTCTCTGTGTTCGCCTTTTATTAATCCCTTCGGGTCAACAGCACCTGGTGTTGCCATCCAGTTAACCAGAATTCCCAGGACTTTTTGCAAACTCAATGTTTTGATTCACACACTCCTTCTCAGCTCTAAGGCCGAAACACTCCCTTTTGACTCCAATGAACTGAATGCAGGTGCATCTGACTCAGCTTGTTCCCACATCTAAGTGTCCAGAATAAACCTGGAGCAAGATGTTCAGAGTTCAGGTTTCTCAGGAGGAACACGCTAATTCTACACTTGTATCAATACACATTAACTAAAAACAGAAGCAGGAAAGAAGACAGGTAATGGGAGCGTAGTAAACATATCCCAGAAAAATCAGGATTGCAATGGTGAAATGGTTCCCCCATTGCTGTACATCCCAGATTCTTCATACACACAAAAAACACTTAAAAATCAGGATTCCCAGGACCTTTCCCGCAGATTTTGTGTGGAGCTCACTGGGTAATTCAGCTGCTCCCCTCTGGGTTGCACTTTGGCTGCTGTTCCCTTCACTTGTTGAAACCGGGCAGTCGATGGATCTGCCCTGGAACAGGAGGAACCAGCTCACAGGAGGGAGAAAAACCAGAAAAATTATCTCAGTCTTCCGGCAGCACAAGCACTTCCCAACACAGCGAGCCCAGGGAGTGCAGGGGCTGGGGGGCCAAGCTCCAGAGAAATGTAATGAGTGCCAGACTTTAATTTGGTTGATCAATACGTCACCACCTTGGGAGCTGTCTATGCCTCTCTATCAGTGCCCTTGTCTCCTGATGCACTTTCTATCAGCACACCTGCAAAAGATTGAAGAGCCAAGAGGAAGTGAAAATTAAACACACACAGGAATTGGGTACAGATCCAGCTACATCTGACTTGGTAGATTCTGAAACTTGTGTTTTCAGATGTCTCGTGCCCTGTACAGAATCACAGGAACACAGACAAGGAGAGGTTGCAAGGGACCTCCAGAGAGCATCTGGTCCAACCCAGATGGGACACCTGGAGCTGGATGGCCAGAACCTCATCCAGGGGCTTTAGATTATCTCCAAGGATGGAGACTCCACCACCACCCCAGGTAACAATGTCTGTAAGACTCGGGGACTGGTTTGGGGCTCAATGCCCTTGCTACACTTCTTTCCCCATAAAGCATCTTCTTGGAGATGTGCCTTCATCAGGTAAGAGCTAACAGGCACAGGCTGCAACATGAGAAATTCCCAATAAATGTGTGGAAAAAAATTGTTGGTCCATCCTTCTCCATCCCCTCTGAGGAGCTGTGCAGGACGAGCTCTCTGAGTGGTTTGCCTGTAGAGCAGCTTTGGTGTTCAGAGAAAAGGAAGTCTGCTTGGGAATGGCCCTGATCAACTAATTCTTTGTTCCAGTCTGCTCTGAGCAGCTGAACATCACACTTACTGGATTCCTGCAATTTCTGGAGATCTTCAAACATAGTTTTCATTTGTTGGATGAGCTCCTGCAAGTCCTCCTTCGTGCATGATCCCTGGACCTTTGAGGCCTTCGCCTCCCTTCTTCTTTCTGTGAAAAAAAAGAGCTCTCAGTAGGAGACTGACACTGTCCCCATGAAGGGGAGACCACCCATCATCCCTGAGGATGCTCAAATCCTCAATGGTTTCAAGTCTCTCCTTGAGAGTCTCTTCTTAGACCATCCTGCAGGTTTGTCTTTTTAATTCCTCTCCTCTGGAGAAATACTCACTCCAGAGGAATTCAACCTTGCACTCAAGGTGCAACCTGGAAAAGGGCTTTTCTGCCTTACTTCTTCATGCAGGGAGGGAACAAGAAACTCAGAGTCAGTTCCCTCAGTCTGGCCTGTTTACTAATCTGTGTGCTCCACACTTCTTTTTCTTTAGACAACCCTTTCTAATTTCAGCAGCCTTGGAGAAGAACTCACTCATCCCTTAAAAGAAAGAGTTGGGCAATTCCCAAGCTGATGCACTGTGGGCACTGTTAGTGATCTCTTCCCCAGCTTTAGAATCCTTTTCCACCAGGAATTTGCCCTGGGAAGGAGCTTTGGTCTCTCTCCTAGGGCGTCCACTCTTCCTTGGGACACAGAGACTGTTTTCTCTTCCAGCTTTTGTCTGTGGAAAGGAGTCTCAGCACCACTGGCAGCCCTTAGAAACACGGGCTTGGAGCTCCTGTGCTGCTGGGGAGGAGCATTGACAGGAACCCCACTGCCCCTCACTCCCCAACGGCCTGGCCATGGCTGAGAGCCCAGGCCATGCTGATTTCCAAGTGTTCCTTGAGGGAAGAACATTCTCCTGCCCCCATCCCAGCTGCAAACAGCAGGGACAGACAAACAGCTGCCTTACAACCTGGGGACCATGGGATCCAGCAGAGCCCAGGCTGGGCTGCGCTGGGCTGGTAAAGCCACTGCTGGGGCAGCTCTGCACCCTGGGGGCCTGCATGGGCTGGGAAATACAACAAAGCACTGGCTGGAGGCCCTTGGAAGTGGGAATTTAGAGACAGACGGGATTATCTGTAGATTCTGAAACTTGTGGTTTTAGATGTCTCATGCCCTGTACAGAATCACAGGAACACAGACAAGGAGAGGTTGCAAGGGACCTCCAGAGAGCATCTGGTCCAACCCAGATGGGACACATTAGTACAATAGGGTTTGATCCCACATCTGTGACTGATAGTCCTGTGCCACCTCTTGCTTCCTTATTTCCCTGTGTCAGTGACTAATAGGCACTAGGAGATGTCTTAGTTTTGAGAACAAGGCTTGTGGGTCAGAGCAAAGAACGGTAAGAGAAGAAACTATGACCTGACCAGTATTCCAGATCCTCTCAAGGAGAGGAGACTTATTAGAAGACCATGGAGCATATCCAGAGAAGTCCACAGAAATAATTAGGAAATGTAATGAAACCCTCAGCAAATCACCAGCTGGGTAAGGTTGGAAGGGACCACTGGAGGTCTTCTAGTCCAACCTCCCTGATCAAGCAAGGTCTCCTAGAGACCATTATTCAGGATTATCTCTAGTTGGCTTTTGAAGATCTCCAAAGGAGGAGACGCCACAGTCACTCTAGGAACTGCTTCCAGTGCTGAGTCGCCCTCACACTAAGGAAGTTCTTCCTCATGTTCACGTGCAAATTGCTTTGTTTCCCTTTCTGCCCATTGCCTCCCATCCTATTACTCAGCACCACCCAGAAGAGCCTGGCTCCATCCTCCTGACCCTTCAAACACTTCCGTCCATGGATGACGGCCCCTCTCAGACTTCTCTTCTCCAGACTAAACAGGCCCAGCTCCCTCAGCCTCTCCAGGCCCCTGATCACCTCTGCAGCCTCAGCTGGACCCGCTGCAGGAGCTCCATGTTTCCCAAGTACTGAGGAACCCAGCACTGGACACAGCACTCCAGGTGTGCCTCCCCAGGGCTGCTCCTCCCTTGGCCTGCTGGCAAAGCTCTTCCTAAGGCAGCCCAGGCAGCCTTTGGCCTTCTTGGCCATTGCTGACCCTTGGCCAACTCTTTGTCCCCCAGAACCCCCAGGGCCTTCTCTGCACAGCTACTTTCCAGCAGGTCAGCCCTGAGCCTGGACTGGTACCTGCACTTATTCCTTACCAGCTTCCTTCCGTTGGTTGGATGGGTTGACTGCAGCAGGGCTGGGGACAGAGCACAGGCTCTGTGAGCCTTCCTGAGGGCTTGGCAAAGCCTGGGGGCAGGATGGGGGATAGGGATCATCCCCCTCCACGTCTCCAGACAGCATCTCTGGGCCATGGCAGACAACCCTGTCATGAGGGAGGTGAGTGCGTAGCAGGGCTGGGAGGTGGACACCTTTACCACACATCAGCTCAGAGCTGTCCTCACTGTCCTCAAAGACAAGGGAGAGGGGAGGGGCCCTGACCCCCTGCAGGGAACACTTCAGCATGGAGCTGTTTGAGTGTCCCAGATCACAAAAACTGTTTGTTCCCCGTGGGCAGAGGCCCAGACAAGCAGCCTTTAGTCACGGGAGGGATTGTGGTGGTGATTCCATGACTGAAGGCAGCTTCTCAGCGCCTCTCCCCATGGCAGGGCCGTCCTTCTCCATCCCCTCTGAGGAGCTGTGCAGGACGAGCTCTCAGAGTGGTTTGCCTGCATAGCAGCTTTGGTGTTCAGAGAGATGGAAGTCTGCTTGGGAATGGCCCTGCTCACCTTGTTCCATCCCAGTCTCTGCTCTGAGCAGCTGAAGGTTGTGCTGTTGGGATACCAGCCTCACATGTAATTCATGTTCCAGACCTTGAATTCTTTGACAGAACTGCTGGAATTCCTTCGTCCATCTTGGACTCCTGGGCCCTTGCCATTTTCTCAATTTTCCTGTCTGTGAAGAAAGAGCAATGATCCTGGGTCACTGACTGTGGTGGCTTTGCACAGTTACTGGTGGACTGAGATTCTAAACAAGTCACTCTTCTTTGGTTTCAACCTCTCCCTACTCCCCTCCAGTAACGAAGGCACATGTTTTATTATGTCCTCTCCATAAAATGAGGAGATGAAAGTACAAAAATAACAATTTGAAAAGGAAATAGCGGGGCTCTCCTCTGGCTGTATTTTTCGTTCCTCACTCCCCCTTAGAAATCCTCAGCTGGTAGGAATTCAATTTTGTGATGGAGGCACAATCTGGAAATGGTTTTCCTTTGCCCCCTGACTTTTAGCAGGGAGGGCACAAGAAACTCAGAGCACATTTTCCTCCCTTTGCAAAGTGAGAAAAAGTGTTGCCATGAGGAAGACAAGTGTGGCCATGACCACCTGCAGAGAACACTTCAGCATGGAGCTGTTTCAGGGTCAGGGATCACCAAAGCTGTTCCCCATGGCAGGGCCGTCCTTCTCCATCCCCTCTGAGGAGCTGTGCAGGACGAGCTCCCAGAGTGGTTTGCCTGTAGAGCAGCTTTGGTGTTCACAGAGATGGAAGTCTGCTTGGGAATGGCCCTGCTCACCCATCTCCTTGTTCAGGTCTGCTTTGAGCAGCTGAATATCCTGCTTTGCAGATTCCTGCCCTTTCTGGAGATCTTCACGCACAGCTTTCATTTCTTGGCAGAGTTGCTGAAGGGTCTCCTCCATCCTGGATCCCTGAGCCTTTGGGGTATTTCCCTCCTCTGTCTTTCCTGTGAAAAAAACACATGTCAGTACGAGTCTGTCACTGCCCCCATGAAGGGGAGACCACCCATCTGGGACATGGAGACTGTGTTCTCTTCCAGCTTTTGTCTGTGGAAAGGAGTCTCAGCACCACTGGCAGCCCTTAGAAACACGGGCTTGGAGCTCCTGTGCTGCTGGGGAGGAGTATTGACAGGAACCCCACTGCCCCCTCACTCCCCAACGGCCTGGTCATGGCTGAGAGCCCAGGCCATGCTGATTTCCAAGTGTTCCTTGAGGGAAGAACATTCCCCTGCCCCCATCCCAGCTGCAAACAGCAGGGACAGACAAACAGCTGCCTTACAACCTGGGGACCATGGGATCCAGCAGAGCCCAGGCTGGGCTGCGCTGGGCTGGTAAAGCCACTGCTGGGGCAGCTCTGCACCCTGGGGGCCTGCATGGGCTGGGAAATACAACAAAGCACTGGCTGGAGGCCCTTGGAAGTGGGAATTTAGAGACAGATGGGATTATTTGACCTCACTGTGCTGGGCCCTCAGGCACAACAGGCCTTGGTATCTTCTTTGTGTTAGGCAGGGTTTGGTTTCCAGGTAGTGTGGGCAAATCCTGGCACTCACCTGCACGGAAAGGCTTCTCCCTTTTGCCCCTGGAGGAAAGCCCAGGTTGAGATTCCTCCTTTAGTGGTCAAGGGGAGGAAGGGACATCCCAGAAGTGCTGTGTTATGTCTGTCAAGCGTTACCAATTGAGAGGGAGACCCTCTGCTAGAGCAGGACGTGTCTCTGGTCAAAGAGGGACGTCCCTCTGACCAAACTCCCCACCCCAAGAGCCAAAGCTCCACACCCTGGCTTTGTAACCACAACACTCAGGTTTCCTCCTTGAGGGGCAGAGCAGCTCTGTGACACAAGGATGGCCAAAGGCTCTCATTTAAGCTCCCTGCCAGAGGGTCTCTTCTCAGGGCTCTCTTCTAGGTGTATATTTTCCTTCCTCACTCCCCCTCAGAAATCCTCAGCTCATAGCAATTCAATTTTGTGATGGAGGCACAATCTGAAAATGGTTTTTCCTTTGCCCTCTGACTTTTAGCAGGAAGGGCACAAGAAACTCAGAGCACATTTTCCTCCCTTTGCAAAATGAGGAAAAGTGTTGCCATGAGGGAGACAAGTGTGGCCATGACCACCTGCAGAGAACACTTCAGCATGGAGCTGTTTCAGGCTCAGGGATCACCAAAGCTGTTCCCCATGGCAGGGCTGTCCTTCTCCATCCCCTCTGAGGAGCTGTGCAGGACGAGCTCCCAGAGTGGTTTGCCTGTAGAGCAGCTTTGGTGTTCACAGAGATGGAAGTCTGCTTGGGAATGGCCCTGCTCACCCATCTCCTTGTTCAGGTCTGCTCTGAGCAGCTGAATATCCTGCTTTGCAGATTCCTGCCCTTTCTGGAGATCTTCACGCACAGCTTTCATTTCTTGGCAGAGTTGCTGAAGGGTCTCCTCCATCCTGGATCCCTGAGCCTTTGGGGTATTTCCCTCCTCTGTCATTTCCTGTGAACAAAGCACATGTCAGTACGAGTCTGTCACTGCCCCCATGAAGGGGAGACCACCCATCTGGGACATGGAGACTGTTTTCTCTTCCAGCTTTTGTCTGTGGAAAGGAGTCTCAGCACCACTGGCAGCCCTTAGAAACACGGGCTTGGAGCTCCTGTGCTGCTGGGGAGGAGCATTGACAGGAACCCCACTGCCCCCTTCACTCCCCAACGGCCTGGCCATGGCTGAGAGCCCAGGCCATGCTGATTTCCAAGTGTTCCTTGAGGGAAGAACATTCCCCTGCCCCCATCCCAGCTGCAAACAGCAGGGACAGACAAACAGCTGCCTTACAACCTGGGGACCATGGGATCCAGCAGAGCCCAGGCTGGGCTGCGCTGGGCTGGCAAAGCCACTGCTGGGGCAGCTCTGCACCCTGGGGGCCTGCATGGGCTGGGAAATACAACAAAGCACTGGCTGGAGGCCCTTGGAAGTGGGAATTTAGGGACAGATGGGATTATTTGACCTCACTGTGCTGGGCCCTCAGGCACAACAGGCCTTGGTATCTTCTTTGTGTTAGGCAGGGTTTGGTTTCCAGGTAGTGTGGGCAAGTCCTGGCACTCACCTGCACGGAAAGGCTTCTCCCTTTTCGCCCCTGGAGGAAAACCCAGGTTGAGATTCCTCCTTTAGTGGTCAAGGGAAGGAAGGGACATCCCAGAAGTGCTGTGTTATGTCTGTCAAGCGTTACCAATTGAGAGGGAGTCCCTCTGACCAAACTCACCCCACCCCAAGAGCCAAAGCTCCACACCCTGGCTTTGTAACCACAACACTCAGGTTTCCTCCTTGAGGGGCAGAGCAGCTCTCTGACACAAGGATGGCCAAAGGCTCTCATTTAAGCTCCCTGCCAGAGGGTCTCTTCTCAGGGCTCTCCTCTGGGTGTGTATTTTCCTTCCTCACTCCCCCTCAGAAATCCTCAGCTCACAGCAATTCAATTTTGTGATGGAGGCACAATCTGGAAATGGTTTTTCCTTTGCCCTCTGACTTTTAGCAGGGAGGGCACAAGAAACTCAGGGCACATTTTCCTCCCTTTGCAAAGTGAGAAAAAGTGTTGCCATGAGGAAGACAAGTGTGGCCATGACCACCTGCAGAGCATGGAGCTGTTTCAGGGTCAGGGATCACCAAAGCTGTTCCCCATGGCAGGGCCATCCTTCTCCATCCCCTCTGAGGAGCTGTGCAGGACGAGCTCCCAGAGTGGTTTGCCTGTAGAGCAGCTTTGGTGTTCACAGAGATGGAAGTCTGCTTGGGAATGGCCCTGCTCACCCATCTCCTTGTTCAGGTCTTCTCTGAGCAGCTGAATATCCTGCTTTGCAGATTCCTGCCCTTTCTGGAGATCTTCATGCACAGCTTTCATTTCTTGGTAGAGTTGCTGAAGGGTCTCCTCCATCCTGGATCCCTGAGCCTTTGGGGTATTTCCCTCCTCTGTCTTTCCTGTGAAAAAAACACATGTCAGTACGAGTCTGTCACTGCCCCCATGAAGGGGAGACCACCCATCTGGGACATGGAGACTGTGTTCCCTTCCAGCTTTTGTCTGTGGAAAGGAGTCTCAGCACCACTGGCAGCCCTTAGAAACACGGGCTTGGAGCTCCTGTGCTGCTGGGGAGGAGCATTGACAGGAACCCCACTGCCCCCTCACTCCCCAACGGCCTGGTCATGGCTGAGAGCCCAGGCCATGCTGATTTCCAAGTGTTCCTTGAGGGAAGAACATTCCCCTGCCCCCATCCCAGCTGCAAACAGCAGGGACAGACAAACAGCTGCCTTACAACCTGGGGACCATGGGATCCAGCAGAGCCCAGCCTGGGCTGGGCTGGGCTGGTAAAGCCACTGCTGGGGCAGCTCTGCACCCTGGGGGCCTGCATGGGCTGGGAAATACAACAAAGCACTGGCTGGAGGCCCTTGGAAGTGGGAATTTAGAGACAGATGGGATTATTTGACCTCACTGTGCTGGGCCCTCAGGCACAACAGGCCTTGGTATCTTCTTTGTGTTAGGCAGGGTTTGGTTTCCAGGTAGTGTGGGCAAGTCCTGGCACTCACCTGCACGGAAAGGCTTCTCCCTTTCGCCCCTGGAGGAAAGCCCAGCTTGAGATTCCTCCTTTAGTGGTCAAGGGAAGGAAAGGACATCCCAGAAGTGCTGTGTTATGTCTGTCAAGCGTTACCAATTGAGAGGGAGACCCTCTGCTAGAGCAGGACGTGTCTCTGGTCAAAGAGGGATGTCCCTCTGATCAAACTCACCCCACCCCAAGAGCCAAAGCTCCACACCCTGGCTTTGTAACCACAACACTCAGGTTTCCTCCTTGAGGGGCAGAGCAGCTCTCTGACACAAGGATGGCCAAAGGTTCTCATTTAAGCTCCCTGCCAGAGGGTCTCTTCTCAGGGCTCTCCTCTAGGTGTGTATTTTCCTTCCTCACTCCCCCTCAGAAATCCTCAGCTGGTAGGAATTCAATTTTGTGATGGAGGCACAATCTGAAATGGTTTTTCCTTTGCCCTCTGACTTTTAGCAGGAAGGGCAAAAGAAACTCAGGGCACATTTTCCTCCCTTTGCAAAATGAGGAAAAGTGTTGCCATGAGGGAGACAAGAGTGGTCATGACCACCTGCAGAGAACACTTCAGCATGGAGCTGTTTCAGGCTCAGGGATCACCAAAGCTGTTCCCCATGGCAGGGCTGTCCTTCTCCATCCCCTCTGAGGAGCTGTGCAGGACGAGCTCCCAGAGTGGTTTGCCTGTAGAGCAGCTTTGGTGTTCACAGAGATGGAAGTCTCCTTGGGAATGGCCCTGCTCACCTTGTTCCTTGTTCAGGTCTGCTCTGAGAAGCTGAATATCACACTTACTGGATTCCTGCCCTTTCTGGAGATCTTCACGCACAGCTTTCATTTCTTGGCAGAGTTGCTGAAGGGTCTCCTCCATCCTGGATCCCTGAGCCTTTGGGGTATTTCCCTTCTCTGTCTTTCCTATGAACAAAGAGATGTCTCAGGAGACTGACACTCTCCCACCGAAGGGGAGACCACTCACCTGGGACATGGAGACTGTTTTCTCTTCCAGCTTTTGTCTGTGGAAAGGAGTCTCAGCACCACTGACTGCCCTTAGAAACACGGGCTTGGAGCTCCTGTGCTGCTGGGAAGGAGCATTGACAGGAACCCCATAACACTCAGGTTTCCTCCTTGAGAGGCAGAGCAGCTCTCTGACACAAGGATGCCCAAAGGCTCTCATTTGAGCTCCCTGCCAGAGGGTCTCTTCTCAGGGCTCTTCTAGGTGTGTATTTTCCTTCCTCACTCCCCCTCAGAAATCCTCAGCTCACAGGAAGTCAATTTTGTGATGGAGGCACAATCTGGAAATGGTTTTTCCTTTGCCCTCTGACTTTTAGAAGGAAGGGCACAAGAAACTCAAGAGTACATTCTCTTCCCTTTGCAAACTCCCACTGGTGCTTTCTGCAGCTCAGTAAATCTGGCTTCAGCTTTGAAAAGTGGGCCACAGGCTTCATTCTAAGGCCACACAGGCCTGAACCCTCAGCAAGTCAAGGGGTTTCCTGCACTGTTCTGGGCTGCTCACTGCCAGAGTTTTGCTCCTGCAGCCACAACAGCACCCACAGGCAGGTGAGGCCCATCTTGTCTCACCTGTCCCTGCCCTGGGTGCAATAGGCTGTTCCCAACACACTCTCTGTCCTGCCTCAGCAAGGCCAGGGGGCACCATCTGGGTCTCAGCAGGCCCACAGTGGTGTCTGTGCCCCAGCTGGCTCCTTCCCCTTCCCAGCACCAGCTCCTGCAGGGAGAGCTGTTCTCCACGGGCCCCTGTGCTCACAGACACCTCCAGTGCTCATGGCACTGGGTCTCCTTGTTCATCTTCAAGAGGAAGACAAGGTTGGTCTCACATGTGCCCCAACATGGCCCAGCAGTGGGGAGTAGGAGAAGGGACGTGGGGAAAGGGAGAGAGACGGTGACAGGACTTCAAGGGAGGAACCTTAACAACTATCAGGCATTAGAGAACTCACAGCACACACCGTCTGCAGAGAGGAGAGACAAGTGTGGCCATGACCACCTGCAGAGAACACTTCAGCATGGAGCTGTTTCAGGCTCAGGGATCACCAAAGCTGTTCCCCATGGCAGGGCTGTCCTTCTCCATCCCCTCTGAGGAGCTGTGCAGGATGAGCTCTCAGAGTGGTTTGCCTGTAGAGCAGCTTTGATGTTCACAGAGATGGAAGTCTGCTTGGGAATGGCCCTGCTCACCTTGTTCCTTGTTCAGGTCTGCTCTGAGCAGCTGAATGTCACACTTACTGGGTTCTTGCAATTTCTGGAGATCTTCAAACATAGCTTTCATTTGTTGGATGAGCTCCTGCAAGTCCTCTTTCGTGCATGATTCATGGACCTTTAAGGCCTTGGCCTCCCTTTTTCTTTCTGTGAAAATGAACAGGTTTCAATGGGAGACTGACACCACCCCCTTGAAGGGGAGACCACCCATCTGCCCTGAGGATGCTCAAATCCTCTGGTTTCAAGTCTCTCCTTGAGGGTCTCTTCTTAAGCCTTCCTGCAGGTTGTCTTTTTAATTCCTCTCTCCTCCTGAGAATTACTCCCTCCAGAGGAATTCAACCTTGCACTCAAGGTGCAACCTGGAAATGGGTTTTTTTGCCTTAGTTCTTCATGCAGGGAGGGAACAAGAAACTCAGACTCAGTTCCCTCAGTCTGGCCTGTTTACTAATCTGTGTGCTCTACACCTTTTTCTTTAGAGAACCCTTTCTAATTTCAGCAGCCTTGGTAAAGAACTCACTCATCCCTGAAAAACAGGGCTGGGCAATTCCCAAGCTGATGCACTGTGGGCACCATCACTGATCTCTTCCAGAGGGACGTCCCTCTGACCAAACTCACCCCACCCCAAAGGCCAGGCCTTGTGCTGTGCACTGAAGGGGTTCTCCAGGTAACGTGCTCAGAGGGAGGCTTCGCTTCTCTTAGGGATAACACCTCCCATCCTGCAGGTTCCCAGGGATGAGCACAGGCACCAGCAATGGCATCACCTCACTCACCTGCTCGCTTCCTGAGCTCGTCTATGAGCACCTTGAGCAGCTCCACACCAACCGCAGCAACTGGGTATCAGGGTCACATGAAAACAAAACCAAACAAAAAGAGCACATTTAACAAGGACCTTTCCCTGAGGAACTCCTGGAATGCATTGAGCAGGTTCTGGGAAGAACACACCACCCAGCTGGCCCTGGAACCACAAGGTCCTGTGCGCCAGGAGCCCGACAGCAGCGCTGGGGGGGCTCTGACCTTCGAGGCCACTCCGGCTCTCCTGGCCCAGAAGCTGCCTCGGCTGCCACAGCATTCAGGCACCACACAGGTGCCTGTGCACAGTCCCACCAGAACAGAGTCACCCCCAAGAGTGAGACACTCCTCCTCCACACTGCAGGAGTGGAGAGGCACCTCCCAGGGCCCTTCACTGTCCCTTGGCCTTTTCCTTTGGGCCTGTCTTCTGAAAGACTTTCAGATGACCACAGGCAAGAGGAACGGGATCCAGCACACCTACTTAGGAACCCAAATACTTTCCTTAGGACACCTTGCCACCAGCTCTCCATTTCTGCCCACTGGGTTCACATGGAAAGAAATAGAAAAAAAAAGGAAATTTATTGGGGATTTTTCCCTCTGGATTTCAAGAATGCATGAAGAACCTTTTTTGGGATACACAATATCCCTTATACTACTCAAACCTCTGATGTACATGGGGTTTTTAAAATCAGTTATTTCCTCTTCTATCACTGTCTAAACAGAAGAAATACAGTGCTTACCAAGTCCTACAATGAATTGCATGTTTGTCTCCCAGGTCCTTTTCTCAGGGATCACTCTGCAATGCAAGGGAAAAGGGGATCAAAACCTATGGGGTGGGCACAGGACTAGAGAAGAGAAGGCAGCTGAGAAGATCTGGAGGGGCAGCCAAGAGAGACAAGACAAATCCCTTTGCCATCCCTGGGGTTTGCTGGAACAAACAGGCTGAACCCTGCTGTTCCCCTATGAGACACCCTAGGGCCTTTGCTGGGCTGTATGAGAGCCAGGGACGAGCCTGCCTGGTGTGAATTTAGGATGAGAATAACGGTGATAACACACCCATGTTTCGAATGTGGCTCAGTCGTGCTCACCCCAAGTCAAGGACCTTTCAGTTGCCCATGATCTGCCCGTGAGGAGCTGCACGAGAAACCAGGAGGGAGCACGGCCAGGACAGGTGACCCGAACTGGCCAGGGGGATGTTCCAGACCCCAGAACGTCATGGCCGGTACATAAACTGGGGGAGTTACCTGGGAAGTTGTTATTGTATTTTCATTATGGTTTACTTTATTTCAATTCCTTAACTGTTCTTATCCCAACCCACCCGTTTTACCTCCTTCTGATTCTCCTCTCCTGTCACAGGGGTGGGGGAGATGAGAGGGAGCAGCTGTGTGGTTCTTAGTTGTTGGATGGGCTTAAACCACAGCAGTCCTTTTTGGTGCCCAATGTGGGCCTCAAAGGGTTGGGATAACGACAGACCTGACCAGGGTGTGTTAAAACACAGCTGCTCAAACCATGCATTTGATCAGTTTGATACTCACTGGCACAGGGTGATTTCATTACTCTCAGTGCTGCTGCATTTGTTCTCAGAGTTGTGTTCTGTAACACCTCACTTGGTCACTGTGTTGCACCTTTAATCCTGGCTTGTGCTGTGATGGAATGGCTGGTCACGAGACCAGAGGCTGCTCTGTTGACTCAGCATCTCATCACCCCTGCACTGCCAGAGCCATCGACTGGCAACAGTCAATGGTCACCCCTTTTACCTGTTCTCCTCAGAGACACAACCTATGGGGAGACACCTTCCCACATATTCCCCTTCTTTTCCAGACTAATTACCACAGCACTGGGGAATTCTGAAAATCCTTGGGAATATCCTTGGCATGTTGAAACCAGTTTGGTCCCGTTGCCAGGATCCAGAGGGTCCTGTTCCCAGGAATCAGGACGTTGCTGGATGTTTTTCACATCTTGGTTAGGTTTAAGCAACTACCTGCAGGTACTCGAACCCCTGTGAGAGGCACTGAGGCTACTCAGACCCCAGTGACAGGCACTGCAGCTCCTCAGACCCGAACAATGGGTGATGCAGCTGCACCACAGAGCAATAAGGTCCCCTCTGAGCCTCATTTTCTCCAGGCTGAGTCCCCTCAGATCCCTCAGCCCTTCATAGGACTTGCACTCCAGACCCTTCCCCAGCTCTGTTCCCTTCTCTGGACACATTCCAGCCCCTCAGTGTCTCTCCTGCCCTGAGGGCCCAGAACTGGACACAGCACTGGAGAGGCCCCAGCAGGGCCCAGCACAGAGGGACAATTCCTGCCCTAAAGTCTGCTGGGGATGGGGTGTCATGCTGTGTATTGCAAACACCGACTGCACTGGCATTGCCCAGGGGGGCAGACTGCTCTGCTGCAGGTGTTCCTGTTCAGGCAGTCATGCTTTTCTGGTGGGTTTTGTTCTGGTGGGTGTTGTAGACACTGATATTCATAGGGAAATCCCATCAGCACATGAAGGACAGCCGGAGGATTCCCATTCCAGTGCCCCCCAGTGAAGTGGTTCCTGACTGCCACAGTGTCCCCGTCGCTGTGCAGGTGTGGTGGGCACAGGGCTGAGCTGAGGGGTTAAATCCTTCCCCTGGCTGTGCTCCTGCTCACTCAGCCCAGGATACTGTTGGCTTTCTCTGCTGCTGCTGCCCATGGGTTCCATCTCCCGTGTGCTACCTTTCTGCCCTGGAGCTCAGGCAGTTCAGCCAAGCAGCCCCATGAGATGAGTGTTTCTTCAGGGGTACCTTGAGAGATCATTCCTGTCCTTGGAAGAGGCTGCCTGTAAGATTTCCTGAGCTCCTTCACCCTTCAGATGTAGGAGAATTAGAAACCTTTTGGGTTGAGGCAGGAGTGGACCAGCTGATGGGAATCTGAGGAGCTTCAAGGACTAAGTGTTTTGAGAACATGACAAGTGTTTTGAGAACTGGACATCTGGAAGAAGGAAGAAAAACAGCACCTACGATGGGAGAATGAGTTGGACCCTGCCAGGAGGCATGGGAATAGAAGTGTTGTGGTTAGATTTAGAAGGAAAAGAATTTAGAAAATAAGATATGTTAGCTAGCCAATAATAATCATGTGAACAGTGTATGTTGTGTGTGTGTGACCAATAATAGGTTAAGTAGTCAGATATGTGGTAGTTATTGAATTGTATAAAAGTAAGTGTAATTCCCAATAAAGATGGAGCTTCCAAACATCATATTGGTGTGTGTGAAGTTTCCCTTGGGTCTCGCACGTGGCAGCATTCAGATCTGCTTCCCATGCCACCACCTGGTTCAGTGCCCCAAGTTCATCCAAGCCTTCTCCTCTGCAGCCCCAGCTGTGTGCTCTGCTGCTGGCCTTACTCACTGCCCTTTGGTGCCTGGGACCTCACTATTTCAGGGCTGGCACAGCCCAGGCTCACACTAATGATCACATCCCTGACCAGCCTGGGGGCTAGGACCGGGTCATTGGCCTCAAGACTTCTTTGGGTTGCTCTCTGACTTCTTCTCTAGAATTTTTAAGGTTGAGACAGTGTTCCTCCCTTTCTGACTTCTCCACTGCTCACTCACTCAAGTCAACTTAACCTTTGTCCATCTTGCTGAGGATCTCCATTCATTCAAGCTGCTCCTCCACACCAACCATCCTCATCCTCCCTGACACTCTCTCCGGCACAGCCTCTCCCCTTCCACTGCTCCACCAGTGCCCAGGCACAGCCTTCCAAACCCTTCCATAGTGCCATGAAAACCCCTCACTCCCAAGAGCTCCCACCTCCCAGCCAGCTCTTGGGCTGCTCCAGAGTATTTGGTCACAGAAGGTGCTGTGACCGAGGACACCTCCTACCTGGAGCTGTCCTGCTGAGGCTCCCCGGGCATGTCACGAACCAGGATCTTCACCTGGAGAAGAGAAAAATGGAAGAGCTGAAGGAAAACCAAGGAGCTCCAGAGCTGAGAGCTCAAAGCGCTGCGATGGGTCTTCTTCTGCCCCCACCCCCTTAGAGATGAGCTCCAAAATCCAGGCCCTAGTGCGGGAAACTCCCCTACAGTGCTCCAGAGGAGACTTGGAAGTGGAAAGTGGAGACCTGATGTGTGATACTGGGAGCACTGGGGGAAGCTAGTGAGTGATACTGGGGGCACTGGGGTGGCACTGGAATTTCTAGTCCCCTAAACCAGCAATCTGATGGGATGGACAGGCCATGTGGCTCGAGTTAGGGAAGTTCAAGGCTCTAGAATACTGATTTTGGGAGCATTTAGGCTCAGAAAAAACAATTTTGGGAGCTTTGGCTCTCTTTTTCAGCTTTCAGGATGAGAAACTGATTTGGGGGGCTCTGGAACACTGATTTCAAGAGTTTTAGGGCCTAAAAAGCCCTTATTTAGAATCTTTTGAGCAATTTAGGGAGCATGTAGGCTCAGAAACACATATTTAGGAATATTTAGGGGTCCAAATTGACAATGTAGGCAGCTTAGGGGCTGAGAAACACTCTTTTGGGAGGATCTGGGCTCAGAAATATCCATTTAAGGAGTTTTTTACCTTCCAAAAAAACCTGTTTAGAGAGGGCCTTACTCAGAAACCCTGATTTAGGAAGCTTTGGACCAAGAAACACACGTTTAGGGAGCTTTTCCAGTCAGAACCAGTGATTTAGGGAGCTTTTCGGGTTCAAAGCACGGATTCTGGAAGCATCTGCACTCAGAGAGACCAATTCAGGGAGGCCTGAGGCTCCAAAACACCCTGTGTTGGGTTTGGGTGGCAAGGTTTTGGTAGCGGGAGGGCTCCAGGGGTGGGTTCTGTGAGCAGCTTCCAGAAGCTTCTCCCATGTGCAGCAGAGCCAATTCCAGCGGCTCTAGAACGGACCCACCACTGGCCAAGGCCAAGCCCATCAGGAATGATAGTAACACCTCTGGAATACTTGAGTTCCTGCCATGTCCCAGTGTGTAACAGCTGCTCCACCAGGGGCTTCCCCACAGAGTGCAGGGGCCCCTGCAGCCCACGGGGCACCCCAGGAGTGCAGACACTGCCCTGCAGCCCACAGGGCACCCCAGGAGTGCAGACACTGCCCTGCAGCCCACGGGGCACCCCAGGAGTGCAGACACTGCCCTGCAGCCCACAGGGCACCCCAGGAGTGCAGACACTGCCCTGCAGCCCACGGGGCTCCCCAGGAGTGCAGACACTGCCCTGCAGCCCACGGGGCACCCCAGGAGTGCAGACACTGCCCTGCAGCCCACGGGGCTCCCCAGGAGTGCAGACACTGCCCTGCAGCCCAGGCAGGAGCCCAGGCCCGAGCAGGGGAGTCCCGAAGGAGGCACTGATCCCATGGGAGGCCCCTGCTGGAGCGCGGTCCTGGCAGGGACCTGCTGACCCGTGGGGAGAGGAGCCCACACTGGAGTAGGTTTTCCTGGGAGGACTTGTGGCCCTGTGGGTGACCCACCTTGGAGCAGGGGAAGGGCTCCTTTCCCAGAGCAGCAGCAGGAACAATCTGTGATGTTGTGACCCCCATTCCCACCTCCCTGAGCCACTGAGGAGGAGGAGGAGAGAGAGCCCAGGAAGGAGGGGTGGAATGGTGGGGGGAAAGGAGTTTGTAAGGTTTGTTTTACTTCTCATTATCCTTCTCTGACTTGGTTGGTAATACATTCAATCCCTTTCCCCAGTTCGAGTCTGCTTTTCCCATGATAGCAATCAATGAGGGATCTTTCCCTTACTATAAGGAAAAATAGTGTTCTTGCAAATCTTGGAATAAAGTCATAATTAGCTTAATAGTAGAGAGTGGAAAGTTAGTAATGATGCAACCTTTGAGCACAGGAAAACAGAGTTTGCCCACTAGCCCATCCCTGGGGTTGAGGATGGTTTTGTCCAAGTGATTTCTGGCCAAAAAAAGCCAATCAAAAAGTTCAGTGACGCCTTTGCTAATTACATCTTTAAGAAAACAGAAGAGAAAACTTGTGTCGCAGTTGAAATTAGGGGCAGCAGCCATGTAGAAAAGTAGTGGGCCTGAGAAAGGCCAGGTCCCTTCCTCCCCAGCTTGGGCCGGGGGGGGGCAGGTGTAGCACTGAAAATCCCCTTCTCTTCTGTAAGAGAGTGAAAAAAAAAAGTTTAAAATATGAACTGCTTGGACAGAAAACACTGCAGAGAAATTCCAGTGAAGAGATAAGGGACTTCCAAGGTCAAAGCTGGCAGCCGGAGGAGAAAGAAATGCAAAGGGGGCCCTGCTTTTTCCCCCTTTCACTTTCTCCCTCCCATGCAGCTCATAGAGAAACTTGTATATGATGTACTAGAAAGCCGAGACTTCATGAAAAGGACTGAAAATAAGGCAGAGACCTGTCGAAGATTTGTGACTCTAAATATGACCCTGAAGGGAATGAGACTCACGCTGAAGCGAGACAGCTCGGGTGAAATACTGGAATCTGTGTGTGGGATTCATACTGCTACTAAAGATTTGTGACCAAACCTCACGCTGGAGCGAGACGGCCCAGGTGGGATGTTGGGATCTGTGTGAAAGATCCATGCTGCTAGTGAAGATCTGTGACTTTGAGAGAGAGAGAAAGCCTTACGCTGGAGCAGAATCGCTCAGGTAAGGATGTTGAGATCCATGTGTGGGATCCATATTAAAATCATGCCGGAGAAAACTGTTCTCCCGTAGAGAAGGACCTCCATAGGGAAACAGGAGTGGACTCAAAAACCATTATCCCCTGTAACCCTGTGGAAGAAGATCCATAGTAAGCAAGTGTCCCCTTGCAAGCCTATGGAAAAAAAGACCTTCAGAGCCTGGGTAACCCCCAGCCTCCGGTCTTAGCCCAGGAGGGGGGTAGGTCCAGCCCTGGAGGCCGACACAGAAAAAGGAGAAAAAGTTCCAGCTGCGACGAGAGTGCTGCAAAGTTATTGGAAAGAAAGAGAGAGCTGGAATTCTGAGAATAGAAAAGGACGGCTTCTCCTCCTTAAACTGATATAAAGGGGGGGGGGAGAAGTATTTTCTGTAAATGCATAGTACCTTTTACTTAAGTAGAATTGCTGTAGATATAGTTCTTTAGTTTTAGCTTGTTAATAATAAATGTTCATACTTTTTCCCCCAATCCAGTCTCTTTTGTCTGCATAAACTTTCTCTCAACAGATTAATAATTGTGTGAAGGGTGTGAAAACAAATTGACCCAGAGCAAAACCACGACAGAACAGGAGAAGCAATCTGCTGCAGGGAGAGGATGGCTCCATTTGGAAGGTCGTGACGGGCCCCATTTGGAAGGTCGTGACGGGCCCCACAGTGAAAGGCATCGTTTGATACAACATGGGCCAAAAGGCAGGGGGAGCCCAGCGTGCAGTGGGGAGGGTGTAGCTGGGCCGTGGGGGACTCTGTAACCCCGGAGTATCTTGGCCAAAGCAGAAACCGGGAGGGACCTGCGTTTCGGGTGAGACGCGATAAAAGGGGGGCTGTGTCCCCTGCCCAGCTCAGAGACCTCACTGGGCTTTGTCCGGTGAACTCTCCCTCTTATTCCAATCCAGGGTTTTCTTTAGTTTGCTCCTCTGTTAACCAGGTTAACCAGGGGGCTCCCAACACCAGATTTTGGGGAATATTTTCTCAAGCCATGAACCTTTGGCTGTATTTTCTCTCCCCTGTCCAGGTATGGAGGGCAGTGATAAAGTGGCTTTGGTGGGTGCCTGGCACTCAGTCAGGGTCAACCCATCACACCCCCTCTGGGGAGCTTTTGGGCTGAGTGACAGAGATTTAGGGAGCTCCTGCATTGAGAAATAACCATTTTGGGATCTTCGAGGCTCTGAAAAAAAAAAGGTAGAGGGAACTTCGGGGCTCAAAACCAGCAATTTCTGGGTTTGAGGGGGCTCAGAAACCCTCACTCAGGAGCTTTTGGTCTCAGAAGCGCTGATTTAGGGAGCTCTGAGGCTCAGAATCATCCATTTAAGGGAGCTTTTGGAGTCCCAAACACTGATTTAGGGAGATTTGGGGTTGGGAAACACCAAGTTAGGGAACTTTGGGGTTGAGAAACACCAATTTCAAGAGCATTTGGCTCAAAAACACTCATTTAGGAAGATTTTGGCATTACAATTTCCCTTTGAGGTAGTTATTGAGCTCAGAAATTTTCATTTACGGAAATTCTGAGCTCAGAAATAGCCACCTAGGGAGCTCCTGGGGCCTGAAACAGCAATTCAGGGTGCACTTGGGTCCAGAAACACTGATTTAGGGAGCCTTGGGGCTCAGAACACACCACTTTAGGGAACCTCGGGCCTAAGAAACCCCAATTTGGGGCCACAGAGCCTTAGAGAAACTCTTGCTTTGGCAGCTTTGGGTCAGGGAGAGCGATTTGAGGCTATTTTTGGCCCAGAAAGAGCGATTTAAAGAGCTTCTGGACTCCCAAAGACCAAGTCAAGCAGATTGCAGGCTCAGTAGCCCTCAGTTAGGCAGCTCTGGAGCTCCAAACCAGCGATTTAGGGAGCCTTGGGGCTCACAAACATGGACAGCGGCAGCAGCAGTAGCGAAGCAGGGCAGCGGGGGCAGCGAGGGCTGCACTTACCGGGACAAGGTCGGGCCCGGCGGCTCCGCGGCGGCAGCAGAGGGGCCGGGGCGGCTCCCGCTTCAACCCGGCTGCCGAGCCCACCCCAGCACTCCCCACACCGAGTCTCGGCTTTCCGGCCCTTTTCTCGGAACCACGAGCAAAAACGCTGCGGCCAGGGGGGAGTTCCTGGGGCGGGGGAGGAACCGGAGCCGCGGGGAGGGGAAAATGCGATGGAGGTGGAGGGAAAGAGGGAGGGGTTTTGAGATTTTACAACTACGATTTTAGGACCTTTTCGGCTCAGGAAAAAACCTCTTGGGGAGCTCTGAGCCTCAGAAACACTAATTTAGCAACCTTTGGGCTCAAATAAAAAAATAAATGTGGGGACATTTTGAGCTCAGAGCAATTTAGAGAGATTTTGGGCTCAGAATCACTCATTTAAGGACGTTTTGGGGTCCAAAAAACCGATTTAGGGAGCTTTGGGGCTGAGAAACACGCATTGCAGGAGGATTTGGGCTCAGAAATGTAAAATTAAGGAGTGCACATTAAAGCCTGAAAAATATCCACCACTCCACTGGTTCCTGGCACAGAAACACTGTAGGGGTTTGCTTTTGCAAATAACCCAGACTGCTTTCCCCAGCGTGGTTTTAATCACTTTTTCTTAGCCCCAAAGCTCCTGAAATTACTGTTATTGCCCCAAACCCGCCGAAACAGGGGTGTCTAAGCCACGAAGTTCCTGAAATTGGGGTTCCAGAGCCCTGAACCCCAAACTCGAGCCACGGCCCCCTTTTCCCCTCCCCGCGGCTCCGGTTCCTCCCCCGCCCCAGGAACTCCCCCCTGGCCGCAGCGTTTTTGCTCGTGGTTCCGAGAAAAGGGCCGGAAAGCCGAGACTCGGTGTGGGGAGTGCTGGGGTGGGCTCGGCAGCCGGGTTGAAGCGGGAGCCGCCCCGGCCCCTCTGCTGCCGCCGCGGAGCCGCCGGGCCCGACCTTGTCCCGGTAAGTGCAGCCCTCGCTGCCCCCGCTGCCCTGCTTCGCTACTGCTGCTGCCGCTGTCCATGTTTGTGAGCCCCAAGGCTCCCTAAATCGCTGGTTTGGAGCTCCAGAGCTGCCTAAACGAGGGCTACTGAGCCTGCAATCTGCTTGACTTGGTCTTTGGGAGTCCAGAAGCTCTTTAAATCGCTCTTTCTGGGCCAAAAATAGCCTCAAATCGCTCTCCCTGACCTGAGCCCCGAAGTTCCCTCTGCCTTTTTTTTTCAGAGCCTCGAAGATCCCAAAATGGTTATTTCTCAATGCAGGAGCTCCCTAAATCTCTGTCACTCAGCCCAAAAGCTCTCCAGAGGGGGGTGTGATGGGTTGACCCTGACTGAGTGCCAGGCACCCACCAAAGCCACTTTATCACTGCCCTCCACACCTGGACAGGGGAGAGAAAATACAGCCAAAGGTTCATGGCTTGAGAGAATATTCCCCAAAATCTGGTGTTGGGAGCCCCCTGGTTAACCTGGGGACAGAGGAGCAAACTAAAGAAAACCCTGGATTGGAATAAGAGGAGAGTTCACCGGACAAAGCCCAGTGAGGTCTCTGAGCTGGGCAGGGGACACAGCCCCCTTTTATCGCGTCTCACCCGAAACGCAGGTCCCTCCCGGTTTCTGCTTTGGCCAAGATACTCCGGGGTTACAGAGTCCCCCATGGCCCAGCTACACCCTCCCCACTGCACGCTGGGCTCCCCCTGCCTTTTGGCCCATGTTGTATCAAACGATGCCTTTCACTGTGGGGCCTGTCACGACCTTCCAAATGGGGCCATCCTCTCCCTGCAGCAGATTGCTTCTCCTATTCCCAAGCAAACTCTTTTCCTGTGCTCAAAGGTTGCATCATTACTAACTTTCCACTCTCTACTATTAAGCTAATTATGACTTTATTCCAAGATTTGCAAGAACACTATTTTTCCTTATAGTAAGGGAAAGATCCCTCATTGATTGCTATCATGGGAAAAGCAGACTCGAACTGAGGAAAGGGATTGAATGTATTACCAACCAAGTCAGAGAAGGATAATGAGAAGTAAAACAAACCTTACAAACTCCTTTCCCCCACCATTCCACCCCTCCTTCCTGGGCTCTCTCTCCTCCTCCTCCTCAGTGGCTCAGGGAGGTGGGAATGGGGGTCACAACATCACAGATTGTTCCTGCTGCTGCTCTGGGAAAGGAGCCCTTCCCCTGCTCCAAGGTGGGTCACCCACAGGGCCACAAGTCCTCTCAGGAAAACCTACTCCAGTGTGGGCTCCTCTCCCCACGGGTCAGCAGGTCCCTGCCAGGACCGCGCTCCAGCAGGGGCCTCCCATGGGATCAGTGCCTCCTTCGGGACTCCCCTGCTCGGGCCTGGGCTCCTGCCTGGGCTGCAGGGCAGTGTCTGCACTCCTGGGGTGCCCCGTGGGCTGCAGGGCAGTGTCTGCACTCCTGGGGTGCCCTGTGGGCTGCAGGGCAGTGTCTGCACTCCTGGGGTGCCCTGTGGGCTGCAGGGCAGTGTCTGCACTCCTGGGGTGCCCTGTGGGCTGCAGGGGCCCCTGCACTCTGTGGAGAAGCCCCTGGTGGAGCAGCTGTTACACACTGGGACATGGCAGGAACTCAAGTATTCCAGAGGTGTTACTATCATTCCTGATGGGCTTGGCCTTGACCAGTGGTGGGTCCGTTCTGGAGCCGCTGGAATTGGCTCTGCTGCACATGGGAGAAGCTTCTGGAAGCTGCTCACAGAACCCACCCCTGGAGCCCTCCCGCTACCAAAACCTGGCCACCCAAACCCAACACAGGGTGTTTTGGAGCCTCAGGCCTCCCTGAATTGGTCTCTCTGAGTGCAGATGCTTCCAGAATCCGTGCTTTGAACCCCAAAAGCTCCCTAAATCACTGGTTCTGACTGGAAAAGCTCCCTAAACGTGTGTTTCTTGGTCCAAAGCTTCCTAAATCAGGGTTTCTGAGTAAGGCCCTCTCTAAACAGGTTTTTTGGAAAGCAAAAAACTCCTTAAATGGATATTTCTGAGCCCAGATCCTCCCAAAAGAGTGTTTCTCAGCCCCTAAGCTGCCTACATTGTCAATTTGGACCCCTAAATATTCCTAAATATGTGTTTCTGAGCCTACATGCTCCCTAAATTGCTTAAAAGATTCTAAATAGGGGCTTTTTAGGCCCAAAAGCTCCTGAGGATGGTTGGTTTGAAAGAACAGCTTGAATATATGGAAGTCCTCAGCAAGATGGACAAAGTAAAGTTGACTTGGGTGAATGAGCAGAGAAGTCTGAAAGGGAGGGACACTGTCTTGGCACTTGATCAGAGAAGGTTGGCAGAAGAAGTAACATAAATTGAGAGCTGGTGGCAAGGTGTCCTAAGGAAAGTATTTGGGTTCCTAAGTAGGTGTGCTGGATCCCGTTCCTCTTGCCTGTGGTCATCTGAAAGTCTTTCAGAAGACAGGCCCAAAGGAAAAGGCCAAGGGACAGTGAAGGGCCCTGGGAGGTGCCTCTCCACTCCTGCAGTGTGGAGGAGGAGTGTCTCACTCTTGGGGGTGACTCTGTTCTGGTGGGACTGTGCACAGGCACCTGTGTGGTGCCTGAATGCTGTGGCAGCCGAGGCAGCTTCTGGGCCAGGAGAGCCGGAGTGGCCTCGAAGGTCAGAGCCCCCCCAGCGCTGCTGTTGGGCTCCTGGCGCACAGGACCTTGTGGTTCCAGGGCCAGCTGGGTGGTGTGTTCTGCCCAGAACCTGCTCAATGCATTCCAGGAGTTCCTCAGGGAAAGGTCCTTGTTAAATGTGCTCTTTTTGTTTGGTTTTGTTTTCATGTGACCCTGATACCCAGTTGCTGCGGTTGGTGTGGAGCTGCTCAAGGTGCTCATAGACGAGCTCAGGAAGCGAGCAGGTGAGAGAGGTGATGCCATTGCTGGTGCCTGTGCTCATCCCTGGGAACCTGCAGGATGGGAGGTGTTATCCCTAAGAGAAGCAAAGCTTCCCTCTGAGCACGTTACCTGGAGAACTCCTTCAGTGCACAGCACAAGGCCTGGCCTTTGGGGTGGGGTGAGTTTGGTCAGAGGGACGTCCCTCTGGAAGAGATCAGTGATGGTGCCCACAGTGCATCAGCTTGGGAATTGCCCAGCCCTGTTTTTCAGGGATGAGTGAGTTCTTTACCAAGGCTACTGAAATTAGAAAGGGTTCTCTAAAGAAAAAGGTGTAGAGAACACAGATTAGTAAACAGGCCAGACTGAGGGAACTGAGTCTGAGTTTCTTGTTCCCTCCTGCATGAAGAAATAAGGC